AGGATCTCAAGGCACCTTAGGATACCACAGTACACTGGTTAAGAATCCCTGCTCTAGATGATACCATAATACAATCACTGACCTTACTCTTTCAGTGAAAATAAGTTAAAATTCTCTCCCCTTCAATCACAGACTCGGTCTCCCCACAGTAACTTTCACTGACTTCCTTCTCTCTATCCCCCATCCAGGGTGGGTGCACAATAGCTCTAAACAAACCCACTCTCCACACCAAGGATGTCTTCAGCACTAGTCCGGGTGTAAGAGAAACAGTCCTCTTTTTGAGTCCCATGAACCCTTGTTAGTTACTGAGGGGTCCCAAAGTGACAATGAAAACAAAACAAAACGAACTAACAAAAGTTGGTTGCAGGCCTCCCTGCTTTCAAGGGGCTGCTGGCAGTTTGTATTCTACCTCAGTGCCCTCAGACAACCCTCTTGTGAACAAGAGGTCTCTCCCATGACAAGCAGGTCTCTCCCATAAGGCAGTCAGGACTGACCACAGCCATGCAAGTGGCTTTGTTCTTCATCCATGTTCCTCTCCAGGATCTGAGGATGGGAGATCTGTTCACTGTCACCAGAGGCTGTTCTCAAGGATCTGGGTGTTCCTTTGTGTAAGACCTTTTCTCCAGGCCTGACACATCTCAGAGAAGGGTGGAACAGGCCTCCTTAGGCCCACAGGTAGGCTTTGTATCCTCTCTGCTATGGGCTTTATAGATCCTATTTCAACTTTTTACAAATACTTCTGTATTTTTGACACAAGTGCTGAAGATTGCGACTCAACAGCAGAGTGAAACTGAATGGTTTTGCTTTAAACACGCACACAATCATGTTGCTTGCTTACCTGTCAATGAACTGGTCAATTATAATAATATCACCAGGCTGTATTTCCTCTCTTAATGACCCACAGGCAGTAGTAACTATAAGGTGAGTGCAAGCCTCTTCCTTCAGTGCCCAGATGTTGGCACGGAAGTTAACATTTGATGGCATAATGGTATGATGTCTTCCATGCCTGCAAAGACAGATGAAAGAGGAATAAAAACTGAAGTAAAAACAAAAAATAAGAAATCAACTACCAGCAGTTCAGGAAATGTAAGTGTTTAAGAGGAACTATGTTCTTTAGTAACTTACAGTGTTGCTAATTTTCACAATTTTATAACCACTCTCACACTATTCGGTGTATTTTTAAAAGCGCCAGTTTCCTGGAGTCCTGTAACTAACTGAAAACTACAACCTTAATTTTAGAGAGAGATTACGTTTCTAGTCCTCCTTGTCCAGAAAAAAGAAAAAGTGATCCAAGTATACCCTAATTTTCTTTTTATAAATGTAGTAGATAAAAAAATATTTTGAATTCTTATGATCTTTAATCCACATAAAGAATGGGGACCCATACATTTTGAACATTTAAGATTGTCAATACTGGATTTTCAATATGCAGCAAGAGTTGTATGATTTATTTGTAACATTTTATGTTTTGTATTAAAATTCTGTTGACACATACAACTTATTTTTTAAATGATACTTCAGTGAAGGCAAACACAAAAACAAAAAACAAGTTAGATGATAAAGGGCATTAATTGAATCCTCCACATTCCAATGCAATGACTAAGTTTACACATCACAGCTTTCATCTATGCCCTGTCCCATTAGTATGACAGTCAGTGTTTTCTCTTCTCCTTTCTCCAATACAAAATTTGCTCAATTTTACAAGCATAAAGCTTGTTCTTTCCTGTCAGCATTTGTTTCAACATGGAACTTACCAGTCAAGCTAGTTTCCTTCATATCCTCATTGTAGTAATAATGATAAGTAACAAATATAATATTTTGCAATCAGAACCCAATAGCAGTAAAATGAGCAGAAAAGATACAGCTTACATTTCATAGCATTTATAATGCATATAGCAGTAAGATTTGACAAAAATGGTAAATTTCCCTGAGTTTCTGTAATCACTCATTCCATCCTTCAAGAAATGCCAGGAACAGAGGATTTTCCCCATGTTTTTTTAAATCATAACACAAAATTCACAACTTTCCAAATTTTCTCAACCTTGAGAGTCATAGGATTCTGCCATTTGAGCAAAGCCTTTCCTAACATTTTACATTCAGGTTTGAGAAATAATGACAAACTTGGTTTGCCCAGCTACTCCTGAATGACATCCTTTTAAGGAAAAGTCGTCAAATATGGTATATTAAATGGATATTAAATGTTAGCCAGACAATCAAGTTCTATTTGCATAGAATCATAAAAAATTAGGGTTGGAAGGGACGTTGGGAGGTCATGTACTCCAACCCCCTGCTCAAAGCAGGACCATCAGCAACCAAATCATCCCACCATGGCTTTGTCTAGCCAGGTCTTAACAGCCTTTAAGGATGGAGAGTCCACAACCTCTCAGGGTAACCTGTTCCTGTACTTTACTACCCTCCTTGTGAGAGAGTTTTTCCTAATATCTAACCCAGTGGCTGGCAAAACACGGCCTGTGGCTCACCAAACACTTTCATCTGGCCTGCAGCACCCACCAACTAATTGTACCCTAGCTCTTTCAGTCACAAGCGTGGGAGCAAGGTGCCCACGTATATACCCCTCCTGCCAACATACCCTACTGTGCCTCACTCCCACCCTTATGGGTGGAAGAGCCCAGTCTGGTCAGCATGCAGCTTTTGGGCAGGGCTGCTGCCGCCACTCACTCTGGGCAGCAGGTAGGAAAGCAGTAGGGGCAGGGGCAGGGGATCTGCAGCTGGGCAGGAGCATGGGGCTGATAGTAGTGCGGAGCCCACAGCCAGGGGGGTAGTGGCAATGTAATGCCTAGGTGGGCAGGGTGTTTGTTTTGAAGGAGGGTTGGGAGGGGGCTGGGAGGGGGTGTGGGTACCCCCCCACACACCTCCCATCATGCACAGCCCCACAGGCAGTGGCAGCAGCAGTTGCAGGTGCTCAGACCTGGTGCAGGCACTGCCACTTGGCAGCGTACAGCTCTAGCCAGCACTGCACATTGCACTGAGCGCAGCCCAGCCAGGCTGTCTCTATCACTGGGGCTCCCCACCACTCTCATGCAATTCCTGTACTTGCACACCACTAGAGGAAAGCTCCACACGTGCTGGAAGCAGCTGCCTTCCCCTCCCCCTGCCATGCAAGTACCAGGACTCGTCAGGGAAACTGGGACCCAAGCTTCCCTCCACTTCTGGCAGAATCCCGGGACCTGCGCAACAGGGAGTGGGGAAGGCAGCTGGCTCCAGTGCACGGAACTTCCCTCCAGTGGTGTGACCTTATTTTTAATAATCCAAATCTTGAAGAGTATGAAAAAAATCCAACATAAAAAGCCAAAGAAACAAAACAGAAGACATAAAGCACCCAAAGGAATAAACATGGGAGAGGTCGGACCAGATGTAATACCCACATTCAGCAACTGTGTCCAGCCACAGCATAACTTAAGGAAAAGAATACAACGGGAGAAAAACAAAACCACAAATGCAGCATCTGCCCAATATGTTCAAACAGCTGTTAACACTGTTTGGAATGGTTCAGGAATAGGGCATCCTGCCTCTGTATAGGGGGGGGCTGGAAGAGCCACTCCAGCCCTACAGTTCTAGGAAGACTATAACCCACCCCCTTGAGGTTTGCAAAAGCATTTGTGTACATAAAATGGACATGGAGGAAAAAGAAATTTCATACAGGAGCAAATCAGAAACTGTACTATTGAAGGATGGCAGCTACTCTAGATGCCTACATGCGTCTTAGGAGAGGTGTCAATATCAAAGCAAACTGAGCAATGCCAAAGCTGCAGATGCTTTAAGAGGTGCGATAAAGCATATCAATAAAGAAAAAATAATTGGGAAATTACTGCCTCTGTGTCAGTGACTTAACTAAAGGGGAGATCCTTAGGGAAAAAGAGGAGATGACAACTTAAGAAAATTAGGGGAGATTCACTCTTTAATAAAGTCTGGGACACATCAGAAATGTTATGTTTGATTTTCTCTAGTTCTGGTAGATCTCTTGAAGTCTCAGAAAATGCATATAGTTAGCTCTTGTGCAAAAATTGCATGTTAACAACAAACTCTCCCTGTGCCTGAAGAAGGGTGTTTGTGCCAAGATGCTTACAAAGAACAACTTTGCCAACTATTTAGTTAGTCTAATAAAAGATCACATTTACCTAAACAACCTTGGCTGTATGTTAGCAGTAATCTTTTTAACCAACTAGTCATTGGAGCCAAACAGGTGATGATAAAAAGTAGGCTGACACCCAAGATTTTAACTTTAGAACTAAATCTTCTTTCCTTTCATTATTTCTCAGTTTTCAGACCTTTGCCATGTCAGAATTACACTAATTCTTCAGAAGCCAGAAAATCTTTCAGGGTAGACAATATCTAGATTTCTAATTAAAAAAACAGAACTTTCGAAAAATCATGCTAGACCAGGTTCTCTCTCTCTCTCTCAACAGGAGGGGACCAGGCAGGGAAATATTGCTGGGGGACAATGTGAAACCACATCCTTTCTTTAAATGAAGTTTGATTGTTCTAGTATTAGCCTTAATCTTTGCAGGCAGAGCAGAAAACATGCAATTCTCCCAATACCTCCCTGTAGGCATGCTTTTGTAACTTCTGTTATAAGAGCAGCTTAGATAGTCTTTTGAGTGTGTGCAAAAGTGATCATTTAACTTTAAAAATGTGCCTTGCAAAATCTAGCAATGGCACGACTCTCGAAGTTTTAGGCTTACTCTAGCTACACTGCAAATTCCTACCAATTTCTTCTTTTGCCCCTATAGCTTAAACCAGTTCCTTGCATGTAGTAAGATAAATTGGTGCAACATGTAAGGTCCTAAGTCATGGTACCTTCAAAGGCTATTATACACTAGGGATGCAGTGAATATTAAAAAAGGCTGTTTTACATCTTTGCATTCTTCAAATAATTGAGGGACAATTCATGCAGCATCATTTGACAGATAAACCAGGCCTGAAACTGTCCCAAAAAGAGAGATTTACCAAATCTGGCCCCTGAGAGACATGCCTGGAGACAGCGTAGAACAAAGAACTTATGAACTTGACGTCTGCACCTACCTGCACCCATACAGGTGACAGACAATACACAGTAAACTAATGTGCGTTGATGGTTTAATGTTTTACAATATAATTTCTCAGCAATACTTTTGGCATGAAATAAATTCTACTATGGTTTGTAGGCTGGCTGGCTGCTCACTGTTTGACATTGTCATTATATAAGCAAGAGTGAAACAGCAGATGCTAAGCGAAAGGTAGACTTGCTAACCTGATCATGGTGAAAGGCAAGTCAGTTACTGGCCTAGAAACTGCAGTCTGGAGGGAGGGAATTGATGGCAGGAGACCTGAGATCAGCATGGCCTGGAGGAGAACAAGGGGAAGCTAAAGTGTAGCTAATGCTGACACTGTTACAACTAGAAAAAAAGACTGTTTTTGCCAGTAAGGCTACTTTTACGTTAGGGGCTTTCCCGTAAAGCAGAATAAGCATCAGTCATGACTAGAAGTTAAACCATTTGACACAAACAGAAAAAGAAAAAAAAAAAAAGTGGAAAACTTTTGAGGAAATCAACTTCCAGACAGGAACACCCCACAAAATCTTCTGAAGAGCTCATTTACCTTGCCAGAAGCACACAGTCAACATTTTTTATCTTCCCCAATATCAAAGCATCTGATGGCTGCAAAACAAGTAAACAAGAAATAGTTGCAACACGCCAATGAGATCAGAAGCCTTAATTACTTTGTGACTATGAAAAAAAACAAACTGCTGTACTTACTTTCATAAGTAAACTACTGGGAATGGAAGATTTGGCACATTTTGAAACCACAGGGAACACACCATTTGCGTATAGCAAGCTAATATAAGCGCCAACCACCTATATAATACAGCTGTTCAAATATGCCATACATACATTAGACACCAAAATATATTTGAATTACCTTGAAAAATTCTTGTCCTTGCAGTTTCGGTTTTCCATGTTGCCATTGGTTATTTTACCAAAAACAGACGGCATCCCTTCATTGAAAAATCTCTTTTTAACCACTTTATATTTTAAAAAAATACTAGATTTTTTCCTGGGAACCCCACGAGTCAGAGACACACATGTGCAGACAAAGATACACAGTTAACCCTGCAAATAATACTGTTTATCTTGTTACAGCGTTATTTGAGTTAGGCTGCTACAGTCTGAGAGACATCTGCAAGTACTGAGATTTTGTAGCTGGATTCCCTCCTGCTAACTTCTCCTCTGCCACCTACCTTAACCATAATCTCTTATACCCTTTACTACTATAAAACATCATTTTATATTTACTTATACGTTGGTGGCCATGAAAATAACACAGTGGAAAAGGTAGGATTTCTGAGGACAAGCATTACACTGGTTACAAAGAGGATGGGGTTAGACTCTTCTCAGCGGTGCCAGATGACAGAACAAGAAGCAATGGTCTTAAGTTGCAGCAAGGGAAGTTTAGGTTGGATATTATGGAAAAAAACTCTCACCAGGAGGTTAATGAACCCTGCAATAGGCTGCCCAGAGAAAATGTTGAATCTCCATCCTTGGAGGTTTTCAAGACCCGGCTAGACAAAGCCCTGGCTGGGATGATCTAGTTGGGGATGGTCCTGCTTTGAGCAGGGGGTTAGACCCAGATGATCTTCAAACCCTGATTTTCTATGATTCTACATAAGGAAAGGTTATTCAACTACACATCCAACTAACCTGTTATTCTACAGAATCATGGGAAAACAGAGGTGGAAGGGACCTCAGGAGGTCATGTGGTCCCACTTAGATCAAAGTAGGAACATCCCTGTCTAAACCACCCTAGACAACTAGCTCTCTAACCTGCACTTAAAAACTTCCAGTGATGAAAATTCTGCAACCTGTTTAAGTAACCTATTTCAGGGCTCAACCACTCTTATAGTTGGAAAGCTCTTCTTAATATCTAATCCAAGTCTCCCTTATTATAGTCTATTAACACAAGGGACAATTAATTGCCATCCTCTTCGTAACAAGTTTTGTATAGGAAGACGGTTATCAAATCCCCCCCTTGGTGTTTGTTTCCTCAGACCAGATAATCCTAGCTCTTCCAACCTTTCCTTCTACACCATATTCTCTAGACCTCTGATATTTATATTCTGACTTGCTGTCTGACAAGCCCAGTATTTCAAATCAATTCCCAAATTTACCCAACAGTGGTACTGCCTCCTTCACAGAGAAATATCATTGCTTGAAACAAACCTATGTAATCTAGTAGGTATATTGTCTTTCTAGCTCTTATCTTTGAAATGTTTCCTTATCAAAAAGTTCAAGAGCTTTTCAGAGATGTTGATTTCTAGTTTGTTGACTAAAATAAATAGAAGTGCAAGCATTACTAATTTCTTAAATTCTGGCTTTTACTGATGTAGCTGAAACATTGCATTAATGTTTTAAACCCACTTCTGGGTTATCTTGGGTCTTCAAACAAACATGCCCATTTATAAAATGTTTAATTCTACTTATTCCTTCATGATAAAAAATCTAATTCATTAACTATTAACATATATTTTTAAAATGTCCACATTCATTTTTAGAAATACTGTGCTGTCAAATATTTGATATAAACATTTTGTAATTTCATGATATGTGCGCTATTTCAGTTGTCATTTGACTTTACATGTGCTGTTTTATTAATGCATCACATATTGGCCCAGAGTTACTATGATTATCATCACATCCGAGTCAGAGACATCTTTCACCTTGCTGCAGTCTTTGAGAAACACTTCTCCTCCCCATCACACAACTCCATTTGGCTGTTTTCATCATATGACCCATTTCAAATGTCATGTTTTATTGGACCACCCATCATATTTGTAATTTTTCTGTCAATCAATTTCAGAGAATTATGGTTTTTTACAAAAAGGGACTGTTCCAAAAATTTTATTTTTAGAATAGCAGCATATCCTAAACCTTTAAAAGACCCCTTTTGATTTTAGCCCGCTAATATCTGAAACATTAACACTGTTATTTCCCTTATCAAATCCTTACATGCTATTCTGAACCAGATGTGGCTTTGGAGAACAAAATATATTTGGAAGCCTGAGAGAGTAAGATCTACTGAAATTCTCTCACTCACACCAAGACAAAAATTTGGAAAATAAAAGACTTGACTACTGCATCTATCCATATCCACTGCAGTCAGTGGCTCGGTGGAACTGATGCAGGGATACAGGGATGACACAGAAGCAGTAGAGTAGGTCAGATCTGAAGTTGCTAAACAGTCTGACCTCGGATTATCTTGACTTTGGAGAGCCATTCTATTTGCATGTAGGCCTGCTTCAACCTGCAGGCTTAATGACAGCAACTGCTGTATCAAGCAGTAAACAACTGTACAACACATATCTTAGGCATGCTCACTGAGAACGTACATTTCTCATCACATATGGTAAACAATGATCATGTGAAAAATGAGGTGACAAGAGAAGGTTAAAAAAAACCTAGAACAGCAAATTTTATGTTGCTAGCTACAAGCATTACTAAACCTTCACACAATATTTAAATTTAACAAGATGAATAAGCAAGATGCACTATAATGGGTGGTAAAGAAGTAATGGAAAGATAAATCAGAGGTTGTAATCCATTAGGAGGTAACCCAGAAAAAAGACCATTTCTTCTGAGTGGAGCAGTAACTATGATCTCTCCTCCAGCCTTGTTAACCCTGCCATATCAAGGAACAATTTCCTAATGGGGTTTAGTTTGAGGCACGCATCTGGTAAAATAATAAAGCTTCCTTAGGACACATTTAAAACCCTAGTAGCATATTTTTTTCTTTCAGGCAAAAAATCTAACAAAGCTAACACCCTAAGTAAAGCTTTTAAAGTAATACTGGATTTCTAAGTATGCTAATATTTGCATCATTAAATACAATTTAAATAAAACCAAATGAACATTAACTGATGATGCAAAGCAGAAAAGGAAACAAAGCAAAAACAGTACAATTAAACTTTATTTATGCAAATCATGATGGAGAACCGAACACAATCATACAGACAGAAGCAGTATCCCACAAAGCAGAGTTCTTTGAAAGAACCCATGATGATTTGATTAAAATGAAGAAAATTTAAATGAACCGCTGTCAGCATTTGAGAGGTTGGAAGAAGAAGTTAATTCTGATCTCATTTGACCTAGCTGTCTTGCAACATGTTTAGAAAGCTGACTGCAGTGCAGAAGAGAAAACCATGGCTTGTAAGGTGAGTATTTAAGCCTATGACAGAAAATATCAAGCCAGTAGACTGATATGACAGAAAAGAACAAAAGAAGAGTTTGAAAACTATTTGGCCCACAAAGATTTCCTGTTGACTCTTGAAAACTATTTTAGAACTGAGTTCTGTCCTCCAGGTCAGCAAAATATTTCCTAGAAGTCTCAGAATTCAACCCTGAAGAGAGACCAAAAGCTTGCCCCTACAAAGTGATGAGTAATCCTGAAACTTCTGACTTGACTGTCTATTGGGGACTTATCACTTAGAGGACTGCTTAACATCAGGAGAGCCCAAACAATGTCACTCCTTCAAAACACAATTTAAAGGTGCAGGTATGGGGGGGAAAGAGAGACAGAAACCCAATTTATCAATAAAAAAAATTCCTTTTTAAAGACAAGCATGATTGACAGCTATTTTATCGAAGTAATTAGGAAGACAGAGCTGCAAATGTTCATGCTATGTTTAGTAAAACAGAGTTTATTATATGATGCATGAGGAAACAGCAACCTTTTGAGCAGGTTAGTATGGGAGAAGATGACTCAAGTAACTGATTTTAAACACATGCACACCCATCAGCACACCACCCCTTCTTATGCATCTGAAAGCCAAAGAACTACAAGTTCCTCCACAAGAAACAACTTCTGTTGCTACATACCATGCATGCCTCATGCACTCAAGTGGTAGAAGCAGATTTACATGCAGCCAAAGGTCTCACAGATGCCCACTCTAAGCGCTACTCAGTCTCTGGAGATACAGTATAACCTCACTAGAATGAACCCTGTTTATAAAAATCCCTTGCTTCTAACAGTCCCAACAGCAGGAACTGATTTTTTCATTATGATAATGCAACAAGTTGATTAACTCTATTACAGCAACTGTGAATCTTTAATGAACTTTTCTCCTGGTTCTATGAGGGTTTATTATAATGGGGTTTTATGGTATTTTAGAAGATCTGAGTTTTATTCCCAAGTTTTCTACAAATTTTCTTTGGTGGCCTTAGGCAAGTCATTTATCTGAGTTCTTCATCTGTAAAATGTGAGTATTAATATGCATCGTCTTCCACACCTCATCTGCCTCATCTATATAAACTGTAAAATCTTTTGGGGCTAGGTCTGGCTTTCAGGGTAGCCTACGCAGAGTCAGCTACACTTATAACTGCAGGACAAGATCCTCATTACAGCTGCATTCTCTTCCCTGCAGCTGAAGGCTGAAATAACATAAAGGGCATGTCCAGACATGCATGCAAATGCAGAAGCACGCATTTCCTGCACCACAGTTATCAGTAGCACATATTTGTGCCATTGCTTTTTGTCTCAGGGCATGCCCCTACATGAGTGCTCCAGCACACAGCATATTAACTTGGGTGGGGTAGGTGAGGCAACCTTACTGGGGGGCCTACCGGGGCATCAGTGGCACCAGTCCAGTCACTCAGAGCTTGGCCAGCAACCAAAGTGTGGCTCCAGCTGGCCAGGCTCTGTTTCTGGCAGCACATGCTGCTACCACTTGCGCTATGCATTTTTTTTTTTTTTTTTAGGGGTGGGGGGTTTTGACACCAGGATCTCCTAATATCAAATTTTGGTGCTGTGCTGCAAATTAGCAGCATGGCAAGTGGGTACACATGTCCTGTGTATGGTTTGTGGTGGCTCAAATAGCTTTGAGGTGCTGTAAACCACAAGTGTACACACATCTGGACATGACCAAACAGTTCTAAAAACCTTGAATTAGAGCCATACAGGTTGTGTTTTAAAGAATCTCTTTACCCCATACCCCAACAAAGTGGGCTGCTGCAACTTTGGAAGGTCTTTAACATACACCAGGAGCTGCAGGGCAGCCAAAAACAGAAAAGATGCAAAGGCAACTTAAAGCCACTACATCCCACTCCTGGACTACCAATTCTGTGTGGCACCTCTAATCTCACCCCTAATGTTTAAAGAGCAGACTATATAAAGGTTCAGGGTGGAGTTTATTTTCTTCTGTACATGATCTTTTTTCTCAGTGCCATTAACTGGCCAACAAACGGGAATGGAAGAAAAAAACCTGATCTTGTGATATCTCCCTTTTATGAAAGGGACCTAAACTGAAAAATTCAACAGTGAGCAAGCAAACATCTAAAAATGCGTGTCTTAGTAAACAGTAAGAAAACAATTATACAGACCTTGCCATATGGAGTCTCAATGTATTTTTCTGTTCTTCCTTCTAAGAGGTCAGGATCATCCAGGCCAGTTCCACCTATAATTCCAATCTTACAAATAAGCAAACAAAAGCTCATATTAGAACTCTAGAAATCACACTGCATTTTAAATCTTACCTTCAGTTCCTGGTCACCAGCAAGGAATTTTTTTGAGTCATTCTTCTAGAAACGACACAGAACCATGGACCCCAGAAGCACCAGTCATTATCATCAAAGCAGTTACCCCCAGAGACATATAGGTAAGTTTACAGGCAGACTTTAGATCCTATGCTATTTAATTTGCCAAATATAAGGTACTGACTATTACTTCCCTGCTTAAATAGAGATCCAATTAAAAAGCTATAAAAACAGCACAAAAAAAGAATTACTGGTTAATCGTTTATCCTACCATGGAAAGGAAAAGACTCATATGCCACACTGTGGTGGTCACAAAAACTGGAACCAGACATATATAAATAACTTTCCAGCAGCTGCTGCTTCCAAGTTATATATGGAAAAGACAAGGAATCATTTTAGTGAATTGTCAACTAATTAGATTTGACTGTCAGACAATTTTTTTGGCTGTGTGGCCTCAGAAATAAATTTTACTAAGCTCCAAGGACCAAATGAAGCAAGATACTGAGTCTTTCAAACCTATTTACTGCCCCACAGAAGGTCTTATATGAGGTCATACGATACACAACAATAAGACTGAGCACCAAGGCTTTGACTCAGAATGGAAGCTGAGGCCTAAGTTTTCCTCTCATCTACAATAAGCCCTTCCAACAAGATCAAGTGCCCAGTTATAATACTGATTATTGGCAAAGAGCAAAGCAAATACTCACTACTAAACCAGTTAGACTGACAATTTCCAATAACTGTTTTGCATGTCAATCCTATTATATTGGTATAATATTTTAAAATAATTGAATCTAAATGTAAATAATAAAAATCAAATGACAAATTGTATTTGAAACAAAACATTTGGGTAGACCCTAAAACATTTGGGTAGAGGGTGACTTATTTTGTTTTTTTGAAATTTTTTATATTAAATTTATTTCCAACAATGGAATGAAAAAATTTCCTACAGAACAGAAATTCTGACTTTTGACCAGCTCTAGATAAACCAGAAGAGGAAATGGGGAAGATGGGAGAAAACATATCTACTGCACAGTAAAATAAGGCCCTTACCTATCTCTCAGCCACAAACCCTATATAACCTGAACACCAAAATCTTTCCCTAAGATTTGGAGGTACTTTGAGACCACAAGTTCAAATCCAGAAACTGCTTTCTCTTGGTCTAGAATTCTCCCACTTTACAGTAAGAATACACACCAATCATTTGCCTTCAGGAAGTCTTCCAATACCTTCCCACAATTCCCTGCAAAAGGCAGACAAGTTTTCTCATGTTATTTTAGAAAAAAAAATGAGCATCTGAGTACAAATGACACATCCAGGTAAGTATAAAAACAACAAGGATGCATGGGTACAGCTTTTCAGTGAGGACATTTGCAATACCGCATCGCAGCAGTGTCCGTTTTGCTATCAAGCAATCTTACACAAATGCAAAAATCTAAAGAAAGCATCCATGTTTCTATTTCCTGATTCTATATGTGGTTTTCTGTAGGGGAATAGTTTTCATAAACCCCACAAAGACATCTTCATCTAGTAATAATACGAACAATATAATTAAAATTCTGCTCAGGATGTAAAAAAACAAAACCCCACCACTAGGTGCTGGTGCAGCTTGACTAGAGTCAACTAATTCCAACATAGAATTTCTGACAACTATGGAAAATTTGTTTAGCTTTATGGAATATAGCAAGAAAGAAAGTTGTTCCTGAGTCTGGATTCCCCCAGCACACATCTTTGGTTTTTTGGAGGTTGATGCAATTGCAACTTAGGTCAGATCAGGCTCTTGCAAAGGCTATTTTTTATTGCACAATGCAGCTTACAGACAGCAAAATACAGGCACAGTCCCAAACACTCCACAGCCTTTTAAAACCAAAAGCAGATTACAAGACTTCCGGTTATTGTGAGTACCACAGCATGGTGACCTGCCTATTAGGGGCCACATAGCTGTGGTCACGAGCACTGCGCCCAAGCTAGTTGGCACTGTGCTAAGTCATGTGATGCTGAGAGATGGAACCAATTTGCTGGCCTGCCTGCACCGATATGCAAATGTAGTTAAGGAAGTAACCCCATGACTACTTCCAAATGTGGAAGTGATATAGCCATTTTCCTCGGCACCATGAACTATCATGCAGATCTAGATGAGGCTGGACCAGAGCTGAAGTTTTCAAGCAAGGTTTGAGTAATGCCTCTTCTCTTTATTAACAACTAGACTAATGGCAGCCTTGCAATGAATGGCTGTTGGTCAGTTTTATGGCCAGTAATGCTACAGGGGCTCCAAATATCTAATCGCTGAGTCTATACTGCTGTAATGTTACCTGTGAGCATGGCATCTCCTGGTACTGATCTAGACCAATTCTTCAAATTCAGGACAAAATTGTTGTTTCAGGAAGGCCTGGGAGGCAAGCAGGGGGACAGGGACACTAAGATTCCCAAAATTCAGGCTCATCCTAGAGTATCCAAGACAGTTGATCGCTTTACTTTGATAAAAACACTACCATTTAAAAACTAATTTTTGCTATCAGTTATACACAGCAAAAAGCTTGCTGCTTTTTTAATTGCTGGCTACTGTTGCAAGGACTATTGCAGTTTTAAGTGGAGAAGTTTAAATCATCCTGAGCTGCTACCATGTGAATGACAGGCCTGTTGTCAGCACAGTTGCAAAGCCTTCTCAGAGTAGTTAAGGATCAGTAGCTTTTAAATGAAAAAAAACCAAAACATGTACCCATGTCCAGCAAGCAGAAATCTCAATGATCTGAATTTTAAACAAGACAACACTCTATCAGTCTCTTGATTTCTGCAACCCTGTGTTTATAAAAGCCTCACTGACTCTTTTTCTATGACTATTAGCTCACTGGACATCTTTTTTTCAATAAGCAGAATGCATGTTTTTCACTAAGTGCCAAATACTCTTCTATGAAAAAGCCTCGCACAGATAATGATGGGAGCCATACTTCCCTCATTTTAACAAGATACCATTCTCCTTTTGGCACCATCTTGTGCTTCTGTTTGTTAGTGCATTCTCACCACAACCCTGAATGCATTTGATGTAGAGCAGGTTTACATGAAAAGAAGCCACAAGAGATGTGTTCAAATATTTTTCATGAAGTAGGATATTTGTCTCTGGTGTTAGGAGTATGGGGGGGGAGGAAGGAATGCCTGTTTCTTCATGGAAATAATCATGACTCCTGAAAGCTGGAATTTCTGTGTGAATTATTTACCTGAAAACCTATACCTGAATTGTGTTATAGAATATCTGTTATTCAAAATTCGAATACACTACAGTCATCCTAATATGGAATAGAAGTGCAACAATGTTACTTAAGGTCTAAAAAAACAAACAAACAAAAAACAAAAACAAAAACCACCCACTGAATTTTGTTCCAGTATGCCACTTAGCAAGTACCAGAAGAGTAATTAATATATTTGCAGAAATCAGGATAACATTTTTATTATTCTTTGATATTCTAAAAACAAAAACCCCAAAAGGGCAAATTGTTTAAGTTACTGAGTATTTTGTTTTTAAACCACATAGCTGACACCAAAACTAGTCCTCAATTTGCAGAAATTGTAAAATGAAATGCAGCTCAGTTTCTTCCCTCAATGCTTAGGAAAAATAAAAGCAGCTGTAAAAAAGAAAAAAAAAATTATCTTTATTAGGAGAAAAATTACAAAGGCCTCATATTTTGCATGTAAACTTTCTAAAATATATTTTACTCGAATCTTCTAAAAATGATTAAGGCAGCCTGCTTAACCTCTTAAGTTCGGGTCTAATTTTTGTTTATCCCCTCAGATGCAACTGCATCAAGATACTCATATGGCTCTTATCGCACTGGGGGGGAAGGGGAGAGGGGCACTGAACAACACCCCAAAGATTTAATGTATTGATTCCTAGAGCAGTACACCAACCTAAGTCAGGAAGTATTCTGGTAGGTATTATGCCCATTTTTACAGTGGGGAACCAAGTGCAGGTAAAGGTGCTATGGGATCCACTGCATGATCCACACAATTGAACCTCCTGCCACACCACACATGCACAGCAGGAGGTGTGATTGTGGAATCCAGCATCAGATCCTATCATGTCTTATTGCCAGTACAGGGGGGAACCTGGGATTGCCACCCCACACTCCCCCTGCACTGGCAAATAGGATTCAGGCCCAGCTGCAGCCCACATGTAGCCAGAGCCCAGTCCCACAGCTGACTGAAATGAGCCCTGGCTGTGCCCCACATCAGCTACAGGACGCACCCCTGGCAGCTGTGGGGACACAGGCTATCCATGCCAATTAAAGCTGGACCAAAATCAACTGTGAAATCATTGCACATTCTCCAGCAATAACTTCCTAGCCAAATGAACCTTGTTTTAAGACACCAGCATTAAGATGCATGCATAGCCAGCCTAAATGAACTGCACCATTACCCAGGCAACCGTGCAATACATGTAATGGCACAACACATGGACCAGGGGCACAGAGACCAAAGGAGCAGGTTCTCCTGCCTGCAGCGGTTGTCTTGACTTTAATTCTAGTCCCATTGCACTGGGTCCCTGGAGGGCTACCCAAGCCTCGCTCTCAGCTGTCCCTCTGAAGCCACAAAACCCTGGGGAGAAGGAGGAGGATCCACTGATTCCCTCCCCTTTTGGCAGGCTTTTCAGCAGGTTTATAGCAAAGTACGGCCGGAAGGCACCTCATGAGGCCCTGCTCCAGGCAAGGTATCGAGGGAAGGACGGGTTGCTTCTTCCCTGCTCAGCAGTGGGCACCCACCCCGGAAGCCTGTGGGCACACATCATCACCCCGGTGCTGCGGTACTGGAAAGAAACACCAAGGTGGCTGGGGCAGGGTGGATGCTGCCCGGGGCTGGGAAGCTCTGCCTTGCAGCCCTGGGTCATCCCCACGTACAGCCCCACGCTGCCCAGAGCCTGAAGCTCAGCGTCCCGCTGCCGGGGAAGGCAGCACGCGAAGCGCCGGGCTGCTCCAGCTAGGCCTATGCACTGAGGGCGCGCGGCTTCGCTGCCGCGCCACCTACCTTTACAGCCGCCATGGCCGGAAAGAGGCAGTCCCGGCGGAAGGAGTCACAGCTGCTGTTGGTGCGCTCCGATAGCCTGGCACGGAGTGCGTCCGCACGGGCTTGGCCTCTGGACGGCAGAAGTTCGGAGAAACTGCTGCGTGCCCTTGTACCGGGCAGAGCAACAAGCGTGTCAGGAAAGCCCCAGGGAGAAGCGGGGAGCGCCGCCCCGCCACTCCCGTGCCCCCCAGAACTGTACACTGGGCAGGAGTGGGTGAGCGCTGTGGGCTTGGGCTCGGGCTCCTGCCCTGCTGCCCTCCCCTGGGGCTTCTTTAGCTCAGCAGGTGTGACCCAGCGCCACAAGAAAGTGGGGCCACGCAGGAAAGCTGCTTGTCGCTGCGAGCCCCACACTGTCGTGGCAATATGTCCCCTGTGTGAGGCAGCAGCAATGGGCACAACCCCACACCAACGCCCCTGCATGTGTACATGATGTGTTGCCAGGCAGCGCCCTGCCATGCTGGGTCACGCACTCGGCCCACCCCCCATGCCACACACACATCTGGGGGGCACATGCCCTCTCCCCACCAGCAGTGTGCGCAATAGCAGGGAGCTGGGCCCAGCCCCCACCCCCAGACAAGCCGCCTGTGGCCCCGTCCCCTGTCCCACTAGGGCCCTGTGGCCATGCATTGCAGCACCAGGCCCCAATCCCCACACACTACCCAGCTTGGCCGCAGCCCCAGTCCTGTCTAACTCCCTTCCCATGGGGACCTCAATCACCTCCCGCCACTTACCTGTAGGAGCAGCTCTCCAGGCTGTGCCAAGCTTCACTGGTTGTTTAGTTTTGACACTGTTTCAACTTGTTTTGAGCTTGAAACAGCAAAATCAAAATGAAATGAAGGGCTTCAAAACAGCCTTGAACCGAAACGAGGGCAGTCAAAACGTTTCGAAAGTTTTGAAACATTTCGAATTTCAAAGCAGCCAGGTGGTGGGAGGCAGAGGAGAGCCAGGGCTGTGCTCGGAGCGGCTCCACAGCCCCATGGGAGCACAGCCCTGGCTTTCCCCACCTCAGGCCACCAGGCTGTGCTCTGTGGGACTGGTGGAGGGAGGCGGGGATCATTTTGACAAGAACTACTGCTATGCCCAGCTGAACTTTGGGTGATTGGAGCCACACCTTAGAGAAGCTGAAAGACAGAGACTGCCTCTTTGCCTGTGAGGATAACTATCACTTTCACAGCTAAATATACTGGGCTTTGCTTTTAGCAGTGTTCATTTAATAGTGAATACTTGTCATAAATAAAAATCTTTCTGTCATTCATACAACAAGTTGTCATGTCAATCCTTTATATACTAGTCCTGAATCCCATTTTAAACCTAAGAGTCAGTGCCACACCACAAGCCATATTTTCTCCCTTAGTTTCTTCTTCAAAGCTCTTATCAAGTAGCTTTGTAGCCTGCCATTCTGTCTTCTTCCCCAGGAGCTCCTTTCCCTGAAGCATGCAAGGCTAGACCAGTGGTCTCCAAACTTTTTTGATCACGCACCTCTATCAGTAAAAAATTTTTGAGCATGCACCCCCAATATATGTACATTTATATAAATAAAAATAGAAATTCTAATGTTTTCTTCCTGCACCCCAATGGATTATTTTGTGCACCCCCTGGGGTACGTACACCCCACTTTGGAGACCACTGGGCTAGACTACCTGCTTTGCCTCAGGCTCTGGGCTTATATGCTTTGAAGCACCACCTCTTCCAATCATGTCACTTTCCAGCCACACACAGGGGTTTGCCCTTTTGGTTAGCCGCCAGTCTGCTCACTTCTGCTGCAGCCTAACCTGGCTGCTTGCAGCCGTTAGTTACCTGGAGATCTGCCTCTTGGCTGCTTACTGCACTGCAGTTTGCTTTTCCTCAGCTGCTTGCCCATACCTTAAGCTTGGCTTGCTGCACTCTCCTCTTACAGTAACAAAAACCTCTGGCTCCCTGTTACAGTATCTGTATGTGTATATTATATATATACACTAGATGCCCCATGCAGTATTGCTCGCATGAAGATCCAATGAGTCAATTTTTGCTTTGTCACGGGCACACTCGGATGAATGGCCAGGCTGCGTTATAAGTCAGCAGTGTGCTAGGCCTCGATGCAAAGGTCTCTGAATGAGTGGCATCTGCTACCCTCACATAGCAGAAGATCACCCGCCTCGAAACTGCCTGACAAACAAAAGCAAGGTAATAATAGCTGGTGTGAGTCGAAACAAAACACTGCAGCCCAAAGTTTTGATATGGCGCACAATTGGTCACTGGGAACAAACTGCTGAGGGAAAAGACGACTGATTGGTCGCTGGAAATGAAATGCTACACCCTAACAGTACAAAAGCAGTCACAGGAAAAGCCCTGATGAGAGAAGTTCCGAACGAAACTTCAAGTGTCAAAGGGCTTGCAGACTGATCACCCGCCAGGGCCGCCCCTCCCCAAGCACCATCTCGGGTTGGTTTTTGAGGCCTCCGCGAAGTGACTAGCGTTCCCCAGCCATGAAGCTGCTCCTGTTTGCCTTTGTGGTAAGCATGCAAGCCTAACTGTTAAACAGCCTCTTGAAATCTATGAGCCGCTGACCAGGTCTGGGGCTAGAACTAAACTCAGCTGCCCCAAGACTACTCACAGGGTAGTTTTGAACGCAAGGGAGTTTAGTTTGAACTTTGTGACCCATTGGACCAACCATAAGAAATCTATGAGCCGTTGACCAGGTCTGAGACTAGGGCCCTGGCTAGCCGCACCAAGACCACTCGTGGTTTTGAACGCAAGGGGCCTTGGCCTGAACCTCATGACCCAACGGACACAATTCCCCATTGTTAACTGTTTGTAATTGTTTTAATTGTTTATATATGTAAGTTGTTGAGATTTAGCATGGGAAGTAGTAGTAGCAAAGTGTTTTGTGAATTTTGTTAAGTAGAAATAAAAAGTTTGGTATAACTCAAGCCGTGCCCTTGTCGGTGCCTACCCCACCGGCCGGTCCACGCCTGGGCATCTCCAGCCTAGTGCGACATGCTTGAGATCACATTTTATTGAACTTCAGTAGGTTCACAACACTTCCATATACACAAAATCCTGAAACATATTACACTTTCTTACTGTAAGAACTTTACAACATTTCCACATATACAACATGTCTGGTTTTGTTACTGGGTTTGCCCTGGATCTGCCCAGAGTGTATGTAGTTTGTACTGTAGGGTCCCTACAGGAGGTATCTTCCCTAAAGTTAGGTTCAGCTGTCCCTGCCAACAACAAATTGAAGTCTATGTGTGCTCCTGTGCCCAAAGATATGCACTGCAATGACTGCATGGCGTACATCCTGCAAGTGCTACAGCATGAACTTCATGATGCCCAGCAAGTATTTCAGCTGTGTGCATGAGACCCTCACAGTTTCTAAAGTCTTCTTTTCAGCTTGACAACTTCTTGCTGCCTCAGCACAGTGTTGTCATATTTCCAGTTGCTCCTGATCACTAAGCTGGCTGAAGCGGGCACATTCACGTGCAGCTCACTGCTCCCACTGCAGAATGTGAGTTGATTCATCTTGCGCTCTATACTGACATCGTCTGGCTTCTGCAGCTTGCTGTTGCTGCTGATGTTGTGTTGCCTCATCAAGCTGAGCATATTGTCTTCTCATTGCCTCTGCAGTTCGCTGCTGCTCCTGTTGACATTCCTCTGCTGTCTTGAGCATCACTGATGTTGATAGGATGCATTTCATTCACGTTCCCCCTCCAATTGTCTTGCACATTGGCAGCGCTGATACGATACATTCTGCTCTGCATAGGCTGTTGGGTTTTTTGCACGTTGTCATTCCTCTTGCTGTCGTTGCTGCTGTCTTTGTAAGGCTCAGCGTTCATCCATGAGGTGTGGTTTTATGTTGCTGGTGTTTCTTTTGTGGATCCTGGCTGCTTTTCTCACTGCTATATTGGGGTCATAGGCGATCATTTCCTCTTGCACACATTGAAATTCTGCTGAGTTCCCATGTTACGTCGAGATCTGGAACGCAATAAGCAGCTGTCGTGTCCTCTCATTCCTACTCCGTATTTTTGTCCCATATCTTACTTGACTTCTTGTCTTCGTTGCATTGAATGACAAACTGACAGACAATACCAAAGGGTGCGAATGGCCAAATGTGGCTTATATATAGTAGGACTCGAGAGTCCAGAACTAACCGACATGGCTATGCCCTGCTAAAATGTTCAGTACTGTAATGGCCTGAAGGGTAACGCTGCATGTAAACCTGGCCAGCAGGCAGCACCTCACCCACACAGACACATTGGTGAACTCGGTTCTCTCACCCAACTCCCTCTCTGAATGATTTCATCTGTCACAGTTAGGCTTCATACTTACTAATGGAGATGACACTTAGTACACGTAATAGTATAGATTACATATACACACGCGTGCGCGAGCATAGCACAAGCTTTCTGTTGGATGTGGTCCACAGCATGAGATCCCTCCTGAGCATGTGTGCACTGATTAGACGTGGGCAGGTTCTAGAATAGCTGGACTTTCCACCTTGATGATGTCAGTGACCCACTTATATCTGGGAGCCGGCACAGTAGCTTGTGTGGTCCAGTAGAGCACCGTGTGCTACACCTGAGTGCCGAGAGCACGCTAGTAGGGTGTCGTGTGCACAGGACTATGACTGGTGAGAAGAATGACTGACACATGGTGTGATTTTGGTGAGTATTTAAGGAATACTGAGGCGTGATTCAGTGCGCGAATGGAATACGGAGGTTTGAGAGTACTTGAGATTGGAATGGTGTGTGAGCTTACTTGGTTGGTGATCATACCTGAGGCATTTGAGCAGTGACTGTAGCAGTGATCGAGAGAGGGGTGACCTATCAGATTGGATTATAATTGGATACTTACCTGAAAAAGTATTATTGGATCAGGACCTCAATCATCTGGTAATTATCACCCTTCCCTCGCTCTCCGTCCGTCTGAGGGAAAGCACGGAGGGCCTGACTGTCACTCCAGCTCAGGGAGCCTGTGAAGGCCCTTGGCTGCCCCCGGCAGCTCTGT